CCCTGACACTGTGGGGCACCCTGGGGCTGTGGGACACCCTGGGGCTGTGGGACATTGGGGACTGTGGGGCATTGGGGTCTGTGGGACATTGGGGATTGTGGGACATCAGGGACTGTGGGACATTGGGGTCTGTGGGACACCCAGGGGCTCTGGGATACCCGGGGGCTGTGGGACACCCTCGGGACTATGGGACACCCAGAGGGACCTGGAGGGATGTGGTACATCGGGGGCTGTGGCACACCCTGGGGCTGTGGGACACCCTGGGGCAGTGGGACACTCGGGGACTGTGAGACATCGGGGGCTGTGGGGTACCCAGGGACTATGGGACACCCGAGGGGACTCGGGGGGCTGTGGGACATCAGGGGCTGTGGCACACCCGGGGGCTGTGGGACATCGGGGATTGTGGGACATCAGGGACTGTGGAACATCGGGGGCTGTGGGACACCCAGGGACTATGGGACACCCGAGGGGACTCGGGGGGCTGTGGGACATCAGGGGCTGTGGCACACCCGAGGGCTATGGGACACCCTGAAGCTGTGGGGCACCTGGGGGCTGCGGGGCACCCAGGGGAACCTGGAGGGATGTGGCACATCGGGCACTGTGGGACATAGGGGGCTGTGGGACATCGGGGTCTGTGGCACACCCAGGGGCTGTGGGACATCGGGGGCTGCGCTGTCCCAAAGCTGTCCCCTCAGGGGCCGCACTCACTGGCAGACAGTGACATGAGGGCTTGCAGCGGGCGCCAGCCCATCATGCACACCATCATGGCCGGGAAGATGGAGATGGTGTTGCCGGCCATGTACATGATGAACAGGTTCATGGGGATCTGCTTCAGCGGCGCCAGAGCCACATCCCAACAGCGCTGCAGAGACACCGGGATGGCACGGTTATGGGGACCGGGCATTCGGGGGGACCGGGCCGGGGATGTGTCCGGGGTCTGGGGGAGCCGCACGGCCGGGCAGGGCAGGGGACCAGGGCCAGGATCACCCCGCGGGGACCCACGGTGACCACCGACCCCCCTCAGGTGTGCTACGTGTGCCAAACGGGGACCATCCCCACGGGGAGCCGGGATATGAGGGGCAAGGACCATCCCCA